GTGTCTTTATGAAACGTCAAACATTTGATAAAGACACGGTGTTGTCGAAAGAATTGTCATGTCATAATAAATAATTTCGTGAAAATCTGAACTTTTAGTTCTTATTTATTTTGATAAATGGATTTCCATGAAGTAAAAGCCACCTCAGTTCAATTCAACGAACATTTGCATAAGTTTATAAATTAACTATCTCACATTTAGAATGATATTTTTAAATTAAATATAAAAACCAATGAAGAAAAGAAAACGAAAATTGCAATCCACGAAGCAAAAATAACATTTCAGTTCACTAAAAAATTGAATATTTTATAAATTGTCTAGAAGAACTAACAATACTCACCGATATACCAAACAGAAAAATCAAATTGTAAGGCATCCACCAATATCAAGAAAAAATTGAATAAGATGCTTCCTTCCATGTAAACGGGTGAAATAAACATTAGTTATGTTCATTGATCTCTATGAATAAAAAAAAATGGGAATCAATTTCCCAATAAACAAAACAAATCCACGTATTTTAATTTTTTTCTAATTTGTACTAAAGTTTTACTAGTTTGTTAAAATATTGTTTAGCTACTATATTCCCCTCGTGCACTTAAATATTTTGTTTGTTACATTTGATACAATGTTTCAAAGTATAACGATAAACGCTATATCAGACTTGGAGCGAATTTACTTAGATACTTATATTTAATTTAAGAATTTAAGAAAATTGTGATCGCTAACCGCGAAAACAAGCCAATTTCGACATATAATAAACAGCGACTTTCCAGATTAGCAGTGAGATCATAGAAAATACCGTTAATGTTAAATGTCGAAGTCATATACAGGGTGTCCCACGATATGATTGCCATAGCTTGGGAGCGTGTTGCTAGGGTTACAAGAATTTTAAAGACCATTTAAAAGGAACCCCTTTATTTATAATTTTATTATTTTTTTATATTTATATTTCATTTTATTGAATTAGTTGTTTGAAATGTCCACCCAGTTGCTGTATTCATAGTGTAGCTCTTCTTAGAGTTGAAATGGTAGCTCTGCTAATCGTCTCAGGAACAGCAGGAATAGTTTCTGAGCCATCCGTAATTCTAGCTACCAGTTGTTCTCTGTTTTCAATACTTTCTTTAAAGTAATCTAACGGAAGGTCAGTTGACCTTGCTGGCCAAGGAATTGCTGAATTTCTCCCATCCACCGGTTTCTATAATTTTGATTATGAAATTATGTTACTTATTGACCAATGTGAATTGGTACGCAATTGCGCTGAATCCACATCGTCCAGATTGGAAGATCATTTTCAATAATGCTACACCAAATATTTACTTTTCAAGTGCCCAACAATGTGAATTCCTGGTGTTATTGTTACCGCTTCGGGTGAACGAGACTTCATAACTAAATATTATTACCCTTTGATTTCTTAATATCCAGCGACTAAATTCAAGTCTTGAAGCGTAGTCGGCAGGTTTTAAAGCCTGTAAGATAAGATGTGGTACGGATACAAACCGAAATTGTGTAAAGTTCTCGCTACTCTCATCCGGCCTACGTTCCAGAAAGACAGTGAATGTAGGCGTATTCTTCATTCGAAAAAGTAAACATTGTACATTGAAGACAATTTTAATGCAACACGCGAAAATAAACACGCCAAATTAATTTAATTGACCGTTACTGTCGCAACACATAAGATTCACATCCAACTAGACTTTTTAATAATACTGGAGCAACTAATTCAATAAAGCGGTTTCTTTTTAAATAGTCTTGAAAATGTCAAATGCTTGTAGCTCAGTTAGAAAAGCGTTTCGGGTTCATTTGACATTTTTAACTTGAAAAGCTTTGGCAGTCATGTCGTGGGACACCTAGTATGTACGTGTTATGAGTTCTTATACCAAAAATTAACTAATGCCGTAAGTTCTTAGTTGGCAGTTATTACTTCCCAGTTGGTAGTTGTTAGTTCTTAATTCATAATTTTTAGTTTCTTTGTTAATTAAACCGTGTCTCTTGATTGCCGATTTGGAAAAACATAATTTAAGTCTTCTTATATGGGATTCCTTCATATTGAACCATAAATGTTGAGTAAAAATGACAAATGAGTCCGGTAACTTGAACCATTACCAGAGAAATACAAGACAGACATTCCCAAACTTTTAAAATGTAATCTTCTGCTTATTGGTGAGGACTTAGTGTTTTTGAATTTGAAATTTTCCTGGTACTAGAAAAGAAGACAAAACATTCAGTACCATGTCTTAGGTACTTATGTGCTAGCTTTTCTAACTACTTTTTGATTCAACCGTATGTTGTTACTACAGCATTATTAAAATGAAATATACGAATGAGATTTTACGGCTTATATTAGGCGCTTTGTCAAATTTCAATAAAATTGATATTAATAGGAACCAGATATTATCCCACGCTAGTTTTGAACGAATTTTAAATTATTCCAAGGAATCCATTGATGAAGCTATATCAGCTAGCTCTTCAGAAGCCTGAAAATAGCGCCTGGTTGAACGCTCCCTCCTTTTCTTTTCTTGTCTGCAGGAGTAGTAAAATCAACAAAAATATTGAAATATATAGAACTTGAATGAAAGGTGGGATTAAAAATTTTTTTTAATGTTTTTTCTAATGAAAGATGCAATTAGAAGACTTCTTTTATTTTTTGCTTTTTTTTTCTTTGATCTTTGCATAAATTGTTTTTTACACTTGGTTTCATAAATATTTATGAACTAATCGAATATATTAAAAATTAATTTCTATTTTAAATTTATTAAAATATAGTCGAACGATTATCTCTCTTTTTGCATATATTATTTAATTTTATTATTTGTAGAGAACATAATCTATTGGGTTGTTCGGAAAGTCATTTCGTTTTTTTTTTGGGGAACATGAAAGACAGTTTTCGTATAATGAATAAATATTTTATTAAATTATATATTGGCCATTCTGGTCCAACACCTTTTGCCATCTTTCTGGCAGTAACATAATTCCCCTCTCTTAAAAGTTTTGGTCCTTGCTGGCAAAAAACTGGTTCAGGTGGTTTATGACATCTTCATTTGAGGTAAAGGTTTTGCCATCCAAAAAATTTTGCAGGGACCGGAACAAATAGTAGTCGGAAGGCGCCAGATCTGGAGAATATGGTGGATGTTGCAGTACGTCCCATTCAAGCTGTAAAAGTTTTTGGCGAGTGACCAAACTTGTGTGAGGTCTCGCATTATCCTGGTGGAACACTACACCCTTCCTGTTGATTAATTCGGGCCTCTTCTCTTTAAGTGAATCATTCAATTTGTCCAGTTGATGACAATAGACTTCTGAATTAATCGTTGTATTGTCCGGCAAAAGCTCAAAAAAAACGATTCCTTTGACATCCCACCAAACGGAGAGCATCACCTTTTTTTGGTAAATGTTGGCTTTTGACACGCTTTGAGCCGGTTCATTTTTTCTGCTCCATGACCTCTTGCGTTTAACATTATTGTATACAACCCATTTTTCGTCCCCAGTAATAATCCGCTTCAAAAATGGATCATTTTCTTGACGTTTGAGAAGCGAATCACACACGTCAACGCGACGACACAAATTTCGCTCCGTAAGGACATGGGGCACCCACACATCGAGCTTCGAGGTTAAGCCCATGCCTTTCAAATGGCCATAAACAGTCGAATTCGACAAATTTAATCTCTCACCGATCTCTCGTATGGTTATTCGCCGATTTGCATCAACTAATGCCTTTATCGCATCTTTGTCAGCTTCGACCGGCCTTCCAGACCGTGGTGCATCTTCGACATCAAAATTGCCGGATCGAAATTTTGCAAACCAGTTCTGGCACTGGCGTACTATTAACACGCCTTCTCCATACACATCCGTCAATTTTTTTCTCGCTTGGACAGCATTTTTACCGTTTCTGAAGTAAAAAAGTAAAATATGACGAAAATGCTGCTTATTGCTCTCCATATTTAAAGGGGCACCAACCAAAAACTACTGCGCAGAATTAATAGAACTTTTTCACACACAAGCCTTGCAATATCAGCTCTCAAGACATATAATGGTTATGCGGCTTAAGTGTGAAGTTGGTTTCGAAAAAACGTAATTAAGTCCTCTGACGGGAAAAAACGAAATAACTTTCCGAACAACCTTATATTTGAATGAAGTCCAGAAAAATTTTGAGAGCGCATGCCTTGTTCTAACTCTAGTGTTGAACATGGAAATGACGATGAAAATATATAATATTGTTTTAATCATTGTCCAAACAACGATTATGTAACGGTAAGGAAATCCAAAGGTCAACCGCCGATTGCACCGTCACGCTATGCAAGTCATCTCGACAATTTTTCGAGGAACTTTTTATACTGGAGATTACGATTAATTGATATAATTTATTTAGACGATGCTAAAACAGGGTCGACTTTAGGTCAAATACGCAAACGGATAGGCAAACAAAATTATCCGAATTTTGATACTCCGATTTTTCCTTCCACTGTATTTCATATGAAAACATTATATGTTTGACTTGACGCAAAGGAAAAACAAACTTAAGACTTTTTCGCTAATTTTATTGACAAGAATACATCTTATACAGCAAATGTTCACCAAAACTAACCAAAAATTATTTTTGTCGAGGACAAATGGGTACACGATAAGAAGAGATATTTGGTTCGTTTTGGTTAGTATTTGTTCTCTTCCTTTAAGAAATATCTAAGCCTATTTGGGTTACAATAGACTAGTTTGTTCGGACATCGGATTTGACTTGTAACATATTCACCTGCAAAGACGATCTCAATTTTCATTAGTTCTAATTCCGTTTTTTTGTATCAAAGCACTTCATACATTAATAGCGATCTACTTGCAAAGCCGACGCTGACCCCACACGTATCATTACATAGACATTCTAAAAAATTCATAATAGGTATTTCATGAAATGCGTAAGTAGGCATTTGAATAAAAAATAATTTTATACATTGCCCGAAAGATCCATTCTATAGATTAACTAGGTTTTTTTTACACTTTCTTGCATTTTGAAGGAGCACTAAAGTGGCTGTCCGACTGTCCGAAAATATATTATTCCGCTCACGTAGAATATGTGGTATTTCCATCCTTTGGTAATCTCCATGGATGCTAACCTCCAGATATACATCAATAGGGCACATGGCATTGCGCCAAATGCAAATTGATAATTGTAATTAGGTAAGTAGAATTAATTGTTTTTCTTTGTACTTTTCACCATTTTTGTGTTTAGCAGCTTCTGAAGATGACAGAAGAAATTCTAGCGAAACTTAGCCGACAACGAACGGAAAAACACCCGGGTGAACACCAGCACACACAAATATAGAAAGTAATTTACATTTCTCTAAAACCACTAAAATTCAGTATAAGAATTGTATTCTACGAAAATGCTCAGAAATCAGTAGCAGATGCACCGTGGAAGAATTTATAATGTATGATCAAATATTATTTAGTACAATTTACTTTAAATTTAGGTTTTGGTTTTTGATGAAACATTTATTGCTTGTACATATATATATATATATATATATATATATATATATATATATATATATATATATATATATATATATATATATATATATATATATATATATATATATAAACATTTTAAAAAAATAAAACAGATAGATGTAAATATATACTTTATATATAAAAATATGCTTTTAAAGTAGCGATTTATACCTACATATAGTGTCCGGTTCTGTCGGCAAGAATCCTAGTCGTTGTAAGCAAATAGAAAACCTTAATCCAAAATGTCAAGCTTGGTTGCAAAATAGAAATTTATTGCCACTTATTAATATTTATAGCTAATTTCTCCCCACAAAAATTTAATACGATTTTCGGTTTACATATAGGTGAAACATTATTGGTAATAATTTAAGTTATAAACGGTCAACAATTTAGGACGTAATATTGAAGCCAACGGTATTTTGTCACTATTTGATCTAAATATGGTCTCAAAATTATTTTGCGTTGCAAATTTTGGCATTTTCCACTATTGCAATAATTTCTTCACTACCAGAGAGCTCAAAAATTTTCTGTTGCAGGTTATTATTTCCGAGAGATTGAAATCCTCTCATTATTGCACTAGGATCTCAGAAATTGTAAAAGATACAGCTTAAACCACGAAACGATGAGCCATATAATACACCACTAAAAAATTGTCTTTGGTACTGGAATTATGGCGGGAAAACCTAAATTTCCAGTTGTAAGAGAAAATTTAACTGAAATTTAGGTTCAAACATTTTCTAAATGAGGTTCTAAAATTGCTCAAGCTTCAGTTTCTCCCTGTCTAAGTCAGCTATTAAAATTACATTCCTTAGTTAAAATGCAATCGGTGTAAATAATTTTATATAAAAATCATAGCTAAAAACCACTAAGAACCTCCATACTTTAATATTGACCTAATCTCAAGCTGATTAGCATTAAGCCAACTTCTATCTTTAAATAACAATCAGTATATTTTACACAAGGTGTCAGAATATGCTCATAAAATATTGAGATTGCTGCATATTCAGCCTCAGTTATTATTATTATGAAATTGTCAATTATTTCTCATTAATTCACGGTTTTGTCATGACTGCTCATCGAACTTACTTAAAATACCTTTTTTTCCAATTTCTTATATAATTTTTTTACCAAAAAAAGGTGTATTTTGTATTAATCCCTAAATATAACGTTTTTGAGAAGAAACTATTGAAATTTCGAACGGGAAGAAATTAATTGCAAGAAGTTGCAGGAAGCAATTGTCAGCATTTCTCACACGGATAAGGATAAGATAAGATAATATAACAATATTATATATTATTATATATAATATTATTAAATTTCAAAATACTCGTCTAAAAGAAATTCGTTAAATGTCCATAACAATTATTTCAAAACTGGCAAGCAAATTCCATTTGCTGTTACCTTCAGATACTTCAAAGACTTTTTCATGTAAAAAAAAGCTTAAATGATCGATTTTTTTGATATTCACATCGATGCACCAAAGTGCCTATTACCTGTCAAGCGTTGGTGGTAGAATATCTATTCACCTTGTATATCGGGCTAGTAAAAAGTGCCGAACACTTAAATATCTCCAAAATTGGCAAAGCTAGAATGATAAAATTCAATGCACGCAAAAATAAATAGGGCATTCCATTTAAAATTATGACATATAACGTAAAAGTGATAAATCTTGAAACACTGCCGTTCGAAAACCCCAGGGAGCCAAGTAATTAATAGAAACAAAATTTTGAAATTATAAGACCACACTAAATCACAAAAATAAATAGTGCATTTGATTTAAAATTACCAAATTACGATGTGTATATAAGTGATAAATCTGACAACACTGGTGAATTTTAGAATTCTGTATGTTCAAAACTCTCCAGGTATTAAATGTGATCCTTATAGCGGTTTCAGTTTTGGAGATATTTAATAAGAGTTCCGGTACGTTTTACTGAAAAAGCGGTGTTGCCGCTTAGTAATTAATACAATCAAAATTTTGAAATTATGAAATCTTAAAAGATTCACAAAAATAAACAGCTCTTTTCTGTTAAAATAACAAAATTGTGACGTGTCAAGGTGGTAAATCTGAGAACACTGTTAGCATTTTTGAATTTTGCATATTCAGAAACCAGCAGGTATTGAATTTTATCGTTTCAGCTTTGGTAGTTTTGGAGATATTTAATGCGGTGTTTCCTTAACTAAGTAATTAATAAAACAAAAATTTTTGAAATTACTTACTAAATTCTATATACGCAATTCATTAGAACCAAAATAAATGGCGCATACCATTTAAAATAACAGAATTATGACATGTAACGTAAAAGTGCCACTGCCGTTCGTATTTTTGAATTATGTATGTTCAAAAACCCCAGGTAGCTATGTAATTAATAGATAATAAATCACAAAAATAAATGGTGCGTTTTATTTAAAATGACCAAATTACGATGTGTATCGTAAAAGTGATAAATTTGACAACACTGGTGTTAGCATTTTAGAATTCTGTATGTTCAAAACCCCGGGTATTAAATTTTATCCTTGCAGCGTTTTCAGTTTTGGAGATATTTAGGCGTTCCGGTACGTTTTACAGAAAAAGTGATGTTGTCGTAGCTCAGTAATTAATAGAATCAAAATTTTGAAATTATACAATATTACCAGATTCATTGCAACAAAAATAAATACGGCATTTCATTAAAAATTATGACGTGTCAAGGTGGTAAATCTGACAAAAGTGCTGTTAGAATTTTTGAATTCTGCAAGTTCAGAAAGCAGCAGGTATTGAATTTTATCGTTCCAGTTTTGTCGGTTTTGCAGATATTTAAAGCAGTGTTGCCTTAACTCAGTATTTAATAAAATCGAAATTTTGAAATTATGCGAATTCACCAAAATAAATGGGGCATTCCATTTAAAATAACAAAGGTATTGATTTTAATTGTTCCAACGTTGGCAGATTTGGAGATATTTAAGCTTGTCGGTACTTTTAACTAATCTGGTATATAAATTTCATATATTTAAAAAAACCTGAGGTTCATTATCCTTATAACTTTTTTACCTTCATTAGCAACGATAAGTGGCAAATTACAAATCGGGGATTTTTCAAATATCACTTTTAGTTTCGCAACTCGCGTTCATTTTTCGCAGACCGTGTTAATGTACGGTCCTGTTTCCCTACCAGCAGCGAGTATTAACCATTACCACGAAAACAATAGCAGCACGCAGCATACATTTCAAAGATAAGTTTGAATGTTATAAAGCGAAAACAAGCCGGATTCAGTCAAACGGTGAGAAATTTTAAACTAGCTCGTTTGATACCAAGTCCGATCGCGATGGCCGACATAAAAATAGCAAATATCGAAGAGCTAATTAAAAATTATATTAGTGGCGTTGTGATCGAAGAAAATGTCACGAGACTGACCGCTCCAGGTGAAAATTACGGGAGTTTGATGCTAAAAGTTGATTTGAAAGTGCGAAACGGTGATGGAGTGAAAACCTACCATTTGGTGGCTAAGTGCGTGCCTCCCAACAAAACGGTCCAGGAGAGTTTCAACACCAAAGAGACTTTTAGAAACGAAATCGCGTGGTACTCCACGATTATACCGACATTGCAGGATTTCCAGAGGGAGAAGGGAATTAGTAATGTTATGGACTTTTTCGCCAAGTATTACGGCGGAAGGGTAAGCCTGGATCCGGACAGTGAAGATTTCGACGAGGACGGTGTTCTTCTGGTGGAAAATTTGGTGGCCGCAGGTAAAATTATTTTCTCTCGGAATCAATGTAAAAACCAGTAAAAGTGTTAAATCAATTGCTAATCATAACTCATATAAGCATTGCTTTGTTTTTTTTTTAAATTAGTGCTTTTACAAGAAGTATTATTTTATTATTTTCAATTGCTCCTTATATATCTTTTGACAAGGTCCCATTCATTTTTTTTTCAAAGAAACTTCCACAAGGTAATAATTTCTACAAAACTTCTGAATTCCTCCTGGGTCGGTTTTTGTTGAGTCGAACATGCTAACGTTTTGACAATCATCCTGTTGGCTTCTTCAGAGCTAAAACTAAAATTCGTGCATGTAATCAATTGTTCTACCAACGAAAAATCCGAGAGTCTATAGAAATCTTTAAGCAACCCAACAATCATAGCCTCAGGTCTCTACCTGTGACCAATACGGGAATCAGTCATCCGGGACAGTATTTATGCCCTTCATTTAGCTCCGGCTCCCTCAAACAATATATAAGCAGGTACAGAGTAAAATGCGAGTCAGTTTCATTGAAGCTCTGAAGAAGCCAACAGGATTGACGAAACGTTAGCAAGTTCAACTGACCAAAAACGGACGCAGAAGGAATCCAGAAGTTTTGTAAAAAGCAGCCCTTATTCTTTTTTTTTCTTTTTATCAGTAAGGCATTTTGTTCAAAATTGATATTAAAACCGTTTGAGTTAATTTCTTTTAACCAGATGTTTGAAGTCATTAAAATCTGTTCAACTTATTAATTCTGTTAGATCGTAACCACGATTGTTGACTTGTTATACATAACCAAAAATTAGCTTGTAACAACATTCGCGGTATACCATTCGTTACGCATTTTACCCAAGAATTTTTTTTTCCTCAATTGCGATACTGAATCGCAGAATATTTTTACAAATATTCATTCAGTAACCCATCAGATGTGCTTTAAATTTATCACATAGTTGTAGTAAATTGGAAGCGTTCGGTTATTTATTTAACTTAATGATTTTATAACTTTACGCTTATGAATCGCACCCACGCCAGGTATTTCCAGTTACGTAATACTTCGTGATTGTTTAAGGTAAAGATTGCACTATTTTTCTAACAGTAATTTTTGTATCGGTGGATTAATGTTAGTATTAAAGTTCTGTCATAGAAAAATCTCAGTAAAATAATAAAAAAAAAAATTTAGAATATAACCTTATCGTATTTTTTATATAATCAGGAGTTTCAGAGAATGACAACAAGATTGAAATAAAAAGGACTTCACCATCACAAAGATAAACTTGCGATATAACGTCAAATGTGTGCAAAATAATGTAAATAAAAGTACGATAAAAATATTTACATATTTGTTTTGATTAACTAACTTTGATATCACTGATTGCATAAAGGTACAAACCATTACTAGTAATCCCTTATATTATATGTAATCAAGGTTGTGTTGATATATATAGGTATCAGTGCCTAATTTCTCTTCAAATAACTTTTTTCATGTGCTTGACATCTGTTTTACATAGAGTCTGATTATTTTGGTTTTAAATTATTTATCAGTTTACGTATGTATCATGCCAATTTGGTGAAAGACACATATATTATTCTTTGATGGAAATTGCAAAGCGCTAAAATTTTTAAATGTTTTAATCTAAAAAATTAGAAGAATAATTTATCGGTATTTCATGACTTTATGCCGCATAAAATTTGCTAAAAGCTACAAAAGATCTAAGTTCAATATAAATGTTCATCTGTATTTATTCAATTTTGAGTAATATTTAATAATTGACACGTTTTTAAGACTCTTATAGTGTTTTAGGGTTTTTTTTTAAGTAAGTGTCTTAAAAGTAACATTTTCGTTACGTCTTCTTCTCGGTTTTGCATTAAATTTGTTTCGTCGAATTTTCCAAATTTATCTTTCGAAAAGCATTTTTTTTATGCGATTAATTCGCCACTGAATAGTTCGAACCTTACCTAACTAAACCAAAGCTTAAATATTTATTTGCGCTATATTTATTTTGTTATTAGTAATTTTTGAAACATATTCATATACAATATGTTTTTTGTGAGTTTATCTTATAATAGAATAAGACTAGATATACTATTTGTAAATTTTTATGTTATGCTGAAATCGAATTTTTTTCCATCCGGAGTAACACAAAAGTTAGCAAAGCTAACAACATCAAAATTGTTTGTTCTTATGAATAGCCCATTCGATTTTTAAAGTCTTATTTTTTATTTCCTATTTAACTATGTATCATAAGTTATTTTTGTACTCCTAAAAATAAGAACTGTCATACCATGGTTGGTTTAGAATTTGGAAAACTATATTGCAGATATATTTGGATAGGAAGAATATGTTCTCCAAGACGTGAAATAAAATTTTAGGTAGAAAATATTTATTATCAAAAAATAGGGGCAATTTGTTCATAATTTTCACTCAAACAAAAGCTTCTTCTTTTCTAAAAATTGTAATTTTAATTCATTTTTAACGAAATTTTCACGTAAGCTGAACAAACGTCGATCGCATCTTTCGAAGTAGAAATTTGTCCATAACTCGTTTTTCTTCATTAATGGAACAGTTTTTTTTTGAACGTCACAATAAATGAAGCAATCAAATTTTATATGTTATAAACCATGTGAAAACTTTGTTATAAAGACAATTTTTCAAAGGAATAATAATTGTCTAGGCACCCATATGCGATTTGGTGCCAATTTCAATATCTATATGTCTTAAAACAGTCTGTATATAGTTAATCTGTATCTCAACGTATCTTATAAACGGTAAATTCATTTTCTTAACAACAACTTTTAATAATAATTGATGTAATAATTTATGTGACCAATTTTAGGTTTTCAATGCGAAGACAGATTGAGAGGTTTCGATCTCCCTACGTCCAAGGCAATAATCAAAAGCATTGCAACGCTGCACTCCACCGCAATCGCCCTTAAACTTCAGAAGCCACATATCTTCGAGACTAACATCAAAAAGTATCTGTTCGGTCACGTTCAAATGGAAATGGGTTCCGTCATATTCGAAACACCCTTGGAAGTCATTGAGGAAATGACGGACTTGGCGAGCGTGTTCCCGAAAGTAAAAGAGGCATTAAAAGTGAATCCTTTTGGGCGCGAGGGTTGCAGGGAGCCCTGGGCCTCGCCCGTTCACACAGACTTGTGGATGAACAATATCATGGTAAACCCGGAAGAGCCAAAAGTGGCTTTGGTCGACTTACAGACTACCAAGTACAAGTCGGCAGTGTGCGATTTAATTTTCTTTCTGATGACTTCCGTGGAGATTCCTTTAGCTAGAAAACACTTGGATGAACTCATAGCGTTGTATTACGACGAGTTTATTAGCAACCTGACTGCGCTACATGCCGATACGAGTGAATTCTCCCACGACCGTTTTATGGCAGAATTGAAGATGGAAGCGTATGCTCAATTCGCCCATGCTTTATTCTTTGCTATGGTGATGTCTGCTCAAAAAATGGATGATTTGGCCGACGCTGGGCACGAGTTTATGGACCAGGTGATTAAATTCAGTCGTCAAGTTAGCCCGAGGCATAAGGAGAAATATAGGTTTTTAGTGGAGGAGTTCACCAAGAGAAATTGGATTTAGTGAAGAAATTTTGTGTGAAAACATAGGCAGTCTTTGTATAACGTGCTTGCAAAGCATAGAACTCGAGTTTAACCAATGAATTGAATCCATTCTTCGAAATTTTTACAAAAATAAATTATAATTAAACAAAAACACTTGGCGTAACATTAAAAATGTAAATATTTTTGAATTAATACTCCTTTGTATAAAATATTATAACCATAAAAAAAACGAATAAAAAAATAAAATGTGTGTTTTCTTCTTAAAGTCTAGAAACCTAAAAAGACGTTATTGTTAGATGATAATAGCATTGTAGCAGCCAGTTGGTTAGTAAATCCCTATTTATTTTCTAGCTTCTCTGAATAATTATTTTTATATCTAAAATGACAATCGTGAGAAACATTTCGCATAAATCGCTGGTTGTAGTTGCAACACAATACGTCCGAAGTCAGGAATTGGGTCACGATAGTAACAATATTTTTCTAAAGGACTTGAAATGTAGATGGATACATTCTCTTACGGCATGTTTATAAGATTGTTGGTAATATTAAAATATTCTCACAATAAAACTGACTGCACAAAGAATCTTTTACATTATAGTAGGCTGTCACTACTGTCACTACACATCGTATCTTTTTAACTATAAAAAATAAGTGACGTACCTCGAAAAAGTGAGAAACATGAGATACCCTGTACCGCATGATCGTAGGTTGTTTGCATAATGTTGGCAATATCTTGAAATTCAATTCTAAAGTTCTGTGTTTAATAAATATGAATACGTTATGTGTAAATTAAGTATACCCGGCTAAAAGTGGAAATTAATTTTTAAACGAAGCTTCCTAAAGCTTAACCTGTGTAGAAATCTTAAGGAAATTTTAAAAATACAATCTTTAAAAGGGTTCGTTATCCAGTATTTTTAGTATTTTAATCACAATAATTGACAAAATTGGAAAAATAACTCTAAGATTATACTTTTACGTGTCAAGTAATTAAGTGTTTTATGTTGTTATGGTATTGTATATTGATAAAATTCTCGAGCCGCGGCTGTGAATGCTTGGCAATTATATCAATTCCGAGAGTAGAATATTGCACCATGTGATTATAGACGATATCTTTACCCAGAACTGTGTTGGACAACCAAACGGTCTATTTGACTTTGTTTGAAGAAAATTATAGATGCATCTTGTTAAAATTGATATTAAAGCACCAACGGCAACAAAGAAAGAGATATTCAACACCAAAGCCAAGTTCCCGATACACTACAATAATTACTGCGATACAAAATTTCCAGAGGGATAACGGAGTCGATTGTATTTCCTAGTTTTACGGATTTTTTCTTTCTTTCCACGAAATGCTCAACAATAAATTCGTACCTTCTTCTGTGCTCTGAATCGTTGAAATGCGCATATCACCACAGCGAAAAAAATACTAAAATAATATGATTAGTTGCTCCACAAGTTTTCAAAGATTTCTGATAAATTCTTCTTAATACGTATCAGTCATGTTGTCCAAATGTTGATTGTCAAAAAGGACACCAAATCTGAAACAAACAAAGCGAAGATGGTAGTTTAGAGGTAGGATAGCCTCGATGTTCGTTTCGAATAGCTAGGGGTGGTTCTTTAGTTTCATTGCAATGGAAATGACGCAACAGGAGACAAGAAGCAGTAGTTTTTTTTCCCTTATACTTCCAGTGGCGGAGAGTAAATCCATATATCGAGAATTAATTTCTAAATTTTAGTTTATTCGACCGCAGCAGTTATGGCCATCACTTACAAAAAACATATGAATTATTTCTTATTTATTTCCAGCTACTTCATTTGCTTGACTTCTAAACGGTATTAATTCCTGAAGAATGATGTCCCACGTTATGTAAAATAATGATTTTGCAGTCTTACCAGAAAAAACTGATTCTGATATTTGTTCAAAAATAATGTTTTAGATTGGTTTTCCAGATGATTATTTAAAGTATAGATTGATTTTGATTTAAGAACCTTTCGAATCAAAACTAACCAAAAGTAGTAAAACGTCAAATTGATAACAGTGTTTTTTATTTTGGGTTTGAGAAAGGACTTATGGTGTTGAAGCCGTTGGTATTTACCGAAAACGATGGTCAATCGACGTTTTTATATATTGATCTGAGTGGTAGGCAGAATAAGAAGCATTCCTACCCATTTCCAAATACAGTCGAACTTCGATAACTCGAATTTTTGATAAGTCGAACCAAATTGGTTAGCAATAGCGTCAAAAGCAGGAAATGCGTGTTAGTTTGTCTTGATTACTCGAACTTGAATTACTCGAATATCTTGATAACTCGAACGAAACATTTGGTGCCAACTTCGATAAGTCGAATTTTCTTGGGGAACCCCCTAATTCACTTGTATGACTTACTAGTTAATACTAAGTGAAAAATACTGTCCCTATTCAATTTACACATTATGTTAAAGACATTTTTGGATTTTTGCATTTGTTGATATGTCATCAAAACGGACTTTAAAAGCTTTGTCTGTTGATCAAAAATTCAAGGTTTTAAAAGAAGTGGAAAGTGGCTCAAAAAATAAAGATGTAGCTGTGAAGTATAGGATTTCGGCAAGTACAGTGTCTACAATTTTGAAAAATAAACATTCAGTCATCACCGCAATGGAACGTTTCGAAGAAAACAAAAATAATAACATTACACTAATGGATTGTATTGACAACGTAACTACCGCATGGAATATCGACGTTAAGCCTGAAACAATTGCCAATTGTTTTAAAAAAGCCGGTTTTGGTCAGTATTTTGAATTGTAAGAAGAAGATGAGATTCCCTTGATTTTCCTAAGTGAACGCCTAAAAGAAAAGAGTAAAGACGAAATCCAAATAGAAATCAAATTTAAAGCTTGGACAAACATAAGAGGTATAGCAGAAGGTAGCACCATTAATGATTTTATACATGTGGATGAGGATATTGTTACTTCAGAGCTTCCTACTGATGAAGATATTATCGAGTCCTGCAGATCCGAACCGGTACAGTTAAACATCGAAGATGACTACGAAAGTGACACGATGGAGGAGGAATTGGAAGATGATTCTCAGCAACCACCTTCAAATGAATTGGTTCAAAATTCGTTGATTGTATTGCGTTTCTATTTGAAAACCTGTGAATACACAACTGTTTCCCTCTATAATTGTTTAAATAAAATTGAAGCTTTTGTTGAAAACAAAATAAGAAATCCGGTCGTCAGTCACAAATAACTGACTTTTTTCCAGTGAAAGAGTAAACTTTAATATTTACATACATATATGTACTACTATTTCATAATTTTCGTTTTTTGTTCAAAAATCACAGATATTAGGGATGTTGTAACGTATAACCCATTTTAAAAAATGAATGAATTCACAAAAAAGTACATGCATTTGTAGTTTTTCTTGATAACTCGAAGTCTTGATAACTCGAAATTTTCATGTGTCAAATCGCAGTTTGACTTATCGAAGTTCGAATGTACTTTAAATAAAACGATATTAAGTAATAAAACGAATTCAGTAAAATGTCGAACTCTCATTAGTAACACTTGGGCTTGCCTAATACTCCAAATAAAAACAATTGACATTTTGCAAAATATATTCGAGTGCATGGCTATAAAAGCGCTCCATAGAGGGAGTTGCAAAATAATAATAATAATAATAATATGTATATTAATATGAATATTTTATCTAACGATGAAAGATATTTTTCTTTGAATTTCAAAACTATAATGATGAATGAAATGATTTACTGTCACCTGATTTAATGCAACTTTAACACACAAATAAAAATGTGAAGACAAATAAAAAAAGGGAAAAATAGGCATGGAAAATTTTACTGAATCCTAAAAATCGATACAACGTATTAAAAACTCAAAAGTTACCTTCTCTATTCCACTCATATATAGAGATACCATGCTCAGAATGCTGCGTCATATCAGTTTGTTATTGGATGTTGCTTAATAATTATTAATTAATGCATATTAACATGTAATGCGGACTTTATTCTTTCGCCCACACGTCAAAAACGATAAAAAATATTCATTCCGTCTCTGTACTTTCTACTTTCGAATAAATATTCACTCTAGGCGATAAGCGTTAGTACCAGCCTTGAAATACTCAGTCATTAATGTTCGTCTCCGCTGATGTGAATTTTTCTCAGTAATGTCGGTCGTGAAGATAGAAAAATTGCAGGATGTTGTTCGAGACTATGTACGCGGAACCGTGTTGAGCCAGCAAACGGTCCGTTTGACTGCACCGGGTGAAAATTATGGTAGTGTTTTATTAAAATTGGACATTAAAGTGCGCGACGGCGATAAAGAAGAAGAAATCCACGCTGTTGCTAAATGTGTTCCTCCCAATAAGTCCATCCGGGAGATATTCAACACCAAAGCTACGTTCCCTAACGAAATAGCATGGTACACTACGATTATACCTACGATGATAAAGTTCCAGAGGGATAACGGGGTGGAGGATGTAATCGATTGTTTTCCTAAGTTTTACGGGGCCAGAACTAGTTTAGACCCTGAAGAGACTATTGACGAACATGGTTTGATTCTGCTAGAAAATCTGGCGGAAACTGGTTAGTACCATTATCTGTAAAACAAATCTGACAAGGGCTTAAGCTTTATATTCTGTCAGTCTGTTAGTTTTTTCACGAATGTTTTATTTGTTTAATATTCTGTGGAAGTTCTCTATACATTGAGAGAAAATTTTGGCAATCACACTCCATTTGCATTAGGTGACACCAAAGGGCTTTTCTGCGTTCCCTCCGCCGCAGTAGCCAAGCTACATTTTAATGAGAATGTCTTGGTATTTTAATAAGTTTAGTGTAGAAAAGATTTCTAGCTGCAACTTCTGTAGGATTTCTTCTCTGTTTTAGCAAATCATACTGCCGGGATAGATAACTGATCTAGAAAATTTTTCTTGTTGTTTTAAGAAAATTTGAGTAGATTATAAAGTAATATTTTGCAGCTTAGGGAACACATTTCTCAAAAATAATAATTTTTGCTTATTTAAAAATAAAAATTAGTAAATTTGTAAAATAAAATTAAAAGCACCTATGAAAAAAAAATGCATGGACAAAACATAAATTAATAAATGGTCTATAAGAAGTGCACATGTATCCATCATGTTATAAATTTGGGTTATAAATTCTCTACAAATATATATCGTAATTAGAAGTGTAATGCCTGGGTAATCTTTGATTTTATGGACAAGTACAAATAATAAAAATAAGATACACTAAATAAAATAAATATTCATTATTCAAATTTGGAGTAGACACAGACTTCTTGTTTAAGCTATAAGAGAGCAGCGGAAACCTGCAAAGTAAATATAATAATAGCTTTCTTTTCAAAGAAAATCATAGCAAATAAGTTTTTTGCTGATAAATTCTTCAGAAATATATGTAATTGTAAAATATTTGATTGCAAACATTTGTCTAATATTTAACATTCTTAAGTCTAAAAAAATATATTGTGTTGTTAATGTTGTTTAAATTTATTCAAGTAACTATACCTACAATATGCCAAAATGATAGTGAGAGAAATCTCTTGAGGAAAGCAGTCATGTGAAATGGATCGCAATATTTGTTATCTTAATATTAGAAATATTAGACGGATCTTGCTTTCTAGGTTACAGGAACGAAAATCGTTACGTAGGTTTTGACCTGTCGACATCACAATCCATCATCAAGAATCTCGCCGCCTTCCACTCCATTCCCATCGCCATTAAATTAAGAAATCTTGAGCTATTCGAAACCAACATCAAGAAATTTTTGTATGGATTCGAAAACGTAGGACAAGTAGAACCTGAAGTTAAGCAAATTTTCGAAGCACCTTTGAGAGTAATGGAGGAGATTACCGAATTAGCTCATTTAATTCCCAGAGTTAAGAAAGGAATGGCAGTTAACGCGTTTGTGATCAGCGATGTCAGAGAACCATGGGCGACCACGCTACACCACGACTTTTGGATGAACAACATTATGGTCAAACCTGGCGATCCCCCCAAGTCGGCCATAATAGATTTGCAGACCACCGTGTATGGATCTTTTGCTACAGATTTGGTGTTCTTTCTGATGACTTCAGTGGAAATTTCGGTAGCTGAACAACATTTGGGCAACCTGATTGATACTTACTATGAAGAATTTATTAGAAATCTTAGGCAATTAAAAGTGGATACAGAAATTTTCAATCGTGAAGCATTCATGAAGGAACTTAATGTGGCGGCTGCCGGTCAGTTACCGCATTGTATCTTTTTCGCTGTGGTGATGTGTGCAGAGAAAAAGAACGCACAGGATACTACTACGGAAGAATATAACCACATGAAAAATTTAAAGGAGATGAGCGGAGAGGATACGGTCAGACACAGAAGGAGGTATCGATTCATAGTTGAGCAATTCGCCAAAAGAAATTGGATATAATCAATATGCTATTATACAGTACTATGCAGTACGCTGCAATTATAGAGTACGAGACATCTAAAAAATGTTTATATCTTTAAAAAACGATTTGTGTAATTCGGTAATTTTGTTATGTTGTTGATTGAAATTATTTTGAAAAATTTTGGTTTGGAATGAATTAATTAAAATTTAATTAGAATATTGTGATTGTTTATTGTAAAAATTAGTGGAGGTCGGCTGAGAATGACATGGACTGGTAAAATGATCTAGATCGGTTATTAATGTGTACACTTGCGTGAGGGTGCTGTAGATTTAATTATCTACGAGTCGGCACACGTCAGTCGTCCGCTGTTACTGTACTGAAAGATGCAATATACGAAAATTTTCATAAACTAAGTCTGAATATTAAAAGTTTTCGACGTGCACGTTTAACGAAAACAAAAATAACTATTTGTAAATTACGTACTAACGCGTTAATTTCTAAAAAAATAACTTGAAGGACAAATAGTTCTATTGGTAAAAAAATAAAACAGTTAAACGACGTACCTTCAAATGAGGCAAATTGGCGTAGTGCCCTGATGATATTTTTTTCATATTAACTTTTCTTTTCTTCGTAAATCCTCACATATTTGAAGAACATAATATGCATACTCCAAGGAAAACAATGAATTATCTCATTATCGCTGTTGTTTAAATAGAAGAAGTTGCGTAACAAAGACAGAGAACGATTTCACTGTTTCCACATTTCCATAATCTACAACCCAATCCGCATCAGCTTATCCTCCGAAAATAAATTTAAAAAAATATATGTATATCGCACAGTCTTAGGAAAGTGAAATTAAGAAAAAGAAAGGCGAAAATAGGTAAGAACTGTCAAATAGAGAGTCAATTTTAGTGCTGACGGCACAAAAAATTGAAATGGTGTGTCATTTTGGGTATACCTCCTCTACATTAAAAGCGTTTATTATTATTATCAAACCTTCTACAAAATTCGAAATCAAATTTAGATATTTTATTGGGAACCGCTCAGCCGAGTAATAAAACTGTAGTCGATTTTCTACGAAGAAAATAAAATATTACCGAATAGTCTGGATCAACTAAACTTTGCATTCATTGACGTTTCTTCTATATTTGCCTCTTTGCATTTGGCCACTTCCTTATATCCGTGATTGTAACCGATTTTAAGAGATATCTACGTAATATGCCAAAAAGATTAAAATATTGCATATTTTCAGGATCTCCTAAGTCTGCTTCCTCACAAAATGAACCTTTGTAGATCGGAAATCGCCAGAAAATGACAAGCTTACTCAGTTATTATTCAAAGTTTATTTGGTCCAAATTATAGCATAAATAATTTAGAAGTTGAAAAAAAGTGATACTCTTTTGGTTCGCTTTAATTCCTTCAAAATTAATTTAACTAAGCAATAAACAACGTATTTAAAATGTATCCGAAGTGTTACTGGCATTTGAAAATAATACTCAATTGAGAAATGAAGTTTTGGTGAACGCGCTGGGGAAAATTTTGATTTTTATAACGTTCACAGCAAAAGCTAAGCTGTTAAAAATGTTGCTATGCGAATTTGATTTTTTCAAGTTAAAATAAGCAATTTATCAATTCATAAAATTCAAAGTGAATAAAATAGTTCTATGAGATTTTTGGACTAAATTGACATTAGGCAGTTGAATTAAAAAATTATCAAAATAATTTTTTGTATTACAAAATATTTTAATCGCATAAATCTTTTTACTTTTGACACTTTTGATAAATTCTGAATCCCTTCTAACTACTGCGAAACTTACACTCAGAAAACTCCAATGACGCCATCTAAAATATACCAAATTTTTGCGACTCCTCCTTACGAATGAAGCAATTGATGAAGTTTTGTTAACAATAACAAGGAAATTTTTTGTGAGGTATTCTACTGTCGAACTGTTGAACTATTTTATAGCCAAACACCGCTTCCTCTTTGGTTGGTATGTATGCGAAAGCGCAGTTTCTGAATGTGCGATTGGGAAACTCATATGAAAATGTAGTTCCGAAGAATTCCCTTCCCGTATTAATAGTCGTTTTTTTTAGGCGTCTATAGTAAGTTTCGATGCGATCAGCGGCAATTCCCTTAATTAAATTTGCATCTTTCCAAGTCATCAGACCAGCTTGCGACGCGTCGAAAGGCATCCGAACCATTCTAGGCTGTCGATGGCACAAATCTGTATGCCTCCAAAGCCATTTACTCCTTTGACAGTACCTAAATATGTCGCTTTGGGTCCAGTAACCTCCTGACCTCATTTTCAGCCATATGCGAAATATAGGCAACTTATGACACTCTGGCAGTTTAGCCAATGGAAATCCGTCAGCGGCCATACCACTTAAAATGAATTTTAACGCTTTTCGTTGAAGTTCTCGATTTATAGGAAATTCTTTGAAAATGGCAAATTGTCTGGAAAGAAAAAAGTCTGGCGTCGGAGTGTCTTTTGGTAAATTAATGGGATGAATTTCTGACTGGTTCACCAAAAAACCTTCGTCATTCTCTACAGGTGTCATGGATCTAAAGCTCTCAGATTCTGAAGTAGCCTTACTTACGTCGCTCAATGATTTTATTGTTGACGCTTCGGCATCTGACTCCAAATTAGGAGCCATAGCTTCGGCATCTTTCAAGCTATTTGTTGAAGATTTACTTTCTTCTGCATAAAGACGAGTTTCCTCATTAATTTTTTTCAGGAAAAGATCGTATTCTTCCAGGCATACTTTATGGCAACTTTCAAATCTTTTCAACAATTGCATGCATTCGCAATCAGATACCGGCAGGGCTCCAGATATAATATAAACATTTTCACCAGGCACCACTTTTACTCCAGATATTTCGTATTTAATCCTTCCTGTAGGTGGCATTTTTGCCCTTGGTGTCTGCGTTTCCTCTTCCATCCCTCCCCCTTTTAAGTTGTTGTTGGCACATTGACATTGCTCGGGAGGAGATATTCCAGAAATCAGGTAAACAGGTCCATATACTGTATTCTTAACTCCTGATATTTGAAACATTGTCCCTTCCATTCGCATTTTATGTCTCAACTTTATTCTGAGTCTATATTCTTGCATTTTTTTAATTTTATTTAGATGATCTACGAGGCAACTGCACATGGGTTGATAAATCCCCTGGACAATATTTGTTTGATTTTCGGTAAGTCCTCCTAGGACAGGAGTAACATATTTCTGCAGCGACTTACTACATTTTTCGCATTCACATTGGTGCTTCATAAAATTTTCAAGCTTTAATTTGCAGTAACTTTTTGTTACAAACGACTGCCTACTACTACTGCTGACGATTGAAGGAAACGCGGTGTCGGAATTCGACTTATTCCCACAAGAAGCAAAAATTTTTGAGCTGACTTTATGGGTGCTGAAATTTGAGTGCCTTTGTGCTAAAGTCCCAGCGACATGATAAACTGGACCTAAATGTGTTTCAACCAAACTGCCAATCACGAATTTGGTATCACCATCCACCAACTGGTTCTGAGTTCCTTTCAGGATGAGTTTGTTTCTGTATATCTCCAAACATTTGCAAGGTTGTTTCAGGATCACCGTCGATAATATATAAACTGGACCTTGTTCCGTCTCTTTGACACCTCCTATGGCATACTTAACATTGCCTGTAGTAAGAGGGTATTGACGATCTGCTATCCGTTTAACTTTATCACTAATTTCACTACAGTGGCACTCCTTTTCACCTAATGTAGATAGTATATTAAATACCGGACCTAACTGGCTCCAACTGATACCTCCAACGACATGAGTGCTATAATTTTCCGATAAATTACGGATCGCCTTTGAGGCTAACACTCTATTGCGATATGTTAATAGGTAACTACGCGCCCTTCCTAGAGTAATGCCCTGAATTAATGGCACCATCGTTCCGGGTTGTGAGTGAGCTTCAGTTAAACGGCCGATAATTCTCACAGTAAAATCCAACTCCTTTTTCTCCAGACAATTATTACATACGCAAACATCATCCAATGCATTTTGGACATGACCGAAATGCTTCTTATTTGGCCTTGATTCTCTACCATCGCCACAACGACAGTGTTGGTAACCAAACACCGGCAGTTTAGATAATTTGGGTGAGTCCTGATTGACATTAGCGCAACGAGAAATCGTTGTTGGCGGCAATAAATGCGGTAACGTTTCAGCACCGTCAAGTCTACTGTAGAAATCATTGGCCTTCATATAGTCAACAAAATTTTGTTGCTCAAGAGTAGTTGGTAGATGCTTGTTCTGCTGATTCATCCTGTCCAGAATTAAACCTTGCAGATAGGAAAAATAGAGACTTTGTGGGTATTGCAAGTGCTTATTTTTGTAAATACCACTATATTTTGGAGGTGGAGGGAAATAACTCAAAGGTTGTAAATAAGGGGACTCGTACAACTTCGGTCTAAACCTTTGTGTAGTGATAGATTTAATCGCTTCACGTGTCCTTGGTGGAGACGGTATTCTAATATGAAGCTCTCTCAAAGTTTCCGTTATTGTGAGGTGAGCAACAGCAGAAAGAAGTAACCTATCATTCGTCGAGTAACTGCGTCGATTAGGATTAGTTATCTGATAAAGCACCAACAAAAACTTCACAGGCAATCCACAACTGCGATCAAGAGCAAAATGTACGTTTTTCCTATTCGGCCTTAATACTAACCCTAAATTGGCCAATACATCCATAGTGCTTTCGATTGACTTAACCTCCAAATCTTCATTTATTGCTTTTTGTAGCTGTTCAACTGCATTTAATTGGTTTGTGTTTAGTTCCATAAACCAATCCGGACCAACCACATTCTGCGCTATAGCGTGATGCCGTTTTCCTTCCTCGTTTCTAAGTCTCCGAATTTGTCCAACGTTCTCGTTGAAATGTTGATGGAGTTCATTTTGTAACTGTGCTTGCTTCTCACGCCAAATTTCGTCCACAAATTGCAAATCTGCAGGACCGCGACCGACTAATTTTTTTCTTTTAGTTTTGAGTTTGCAAGGTTTGGTTGGCTTATAGACGGCAACAGTTTCCTTCAAGTTTAGTTTGAAATCTCCTTTTTGTAACTTGAGGAACGTTTCTGAAATCTGTTGGTCGAGTTTTGTAGCTTTCGGTGGCCTAACTACATCTGGAGGACTTTTGTGAACAGGAATGATTTTGCCTACATTTAGAGGACTGAATTGATCTAGAAGATCTTTTTGACTGCCTTTATTAGCGCTAGAGTGCTTTCTCTTCATTTTTTTTTAGAGAACACACTTTAAATTTGGTAGAATTTGGATGACAAATTCACATTTGACAAGTTGACAATAAATCGAATATTAGAATATTGGTTGTTTGACTTATTATGGAAATAAAATCTTTTTTAACCGAAAGAAAATAATCCGTAGCTTTTTGATAGTTATGAGTCTTCAATTTATACAGTGTGTGCCGGAATTAGTACCTCAAACTATAACAGCATATTCTACGTAGAAAATAATATATATATATATATATATATATATATATATATATATATATATATATATATATATATATATATATATATATATATATATATATATATATATATATATATAGGGTGCTTCAAAAAAATGTATACACACTTTGAACTTCCATAGAAAATTTATTTACCATTCTACAAAGTTAAATTTCAGGAAAATAGAAAGCTGAAAGTCCAATGTAAATGAAACATAAATAACAAATGTTAATACTGTTCAAATTGGTGACCTGCAGCATCAATACAATTCTGAGTACGAGTCACCACTGATTCTGTACATCGTATCAAAAGGTCCAATGAGATTTCTCTACACATTGCTTGAATCTCATTCCAAAGAATGCCTAGGTTACGTGGTTTACGTTTGTACACCTCATCTTTTACTGTGCCCCACAAGAAGAAATCCAGTGGTGTAAGGTCTGGAGAGCGTGCTGGAAACTCGATTGGCCCCTTGCGTCCTATCCACCGGCCCGACAAATTTTGATCCAGGTAAGCTCGTACGTCCCTGTGATAGTGCGGCGGAGCACCATCTTGTTGAAAATAAAAATCATCATTACCTTATAATGCACGAATGGCAGGAAATATGCAATCAGCAAGCATTGTTAGGTAATTAATACCACTTACAGTGCCTTCAAATCGAAAAGGTCCAATGACAAACCGCACCACACATTTACACCAGGCAAATTTACAGCTTTTTCAATTGTAATGTGAGGATTTTCTTCACCCCAGTAAACACAATTGTGCCTATTGACAGTTCCAATAAGTTTGAATTGGGCTTCATCCGACCAAATGATGCTACCCATAAATCCCGGTTCACGTATCACCATCTCCTGAATCCATTCACAAAATTGCAACCTTCGATCTGGATCGTCGTCATTTAGCTGTTGCACCAGCCTTGGAATGTAAACACGATACTTGCCTCTCTTCAGAATGGGTAGCACGCTGCTAGCACTTACATCACTTTCACGTGCCCCTTGCCTTGAAGATTGGTTAGGAGAGCGTTGAAACAGTTCCAAGACTGCCGTTGATGACTCATCACTTGTAGCTGTTCGAGGCCGACCTGAATGACCTTTATGCACATCACACACTGTTCCATGAACTTCGAATTTGTCTCGTATGCATGTAATTGTTAATCTTGAAGGTGGTTCTGTATCATACTCCCTTCTCCACTGTCTTTGAACTTCATTTACATTCTCAAACTTCCAGTACCACTTAATAACCTGCTTACGTTCTTCAAAACTCAAACGTACGTTCCCCATGTTGATATTACAAATTCCAACTGATAATATAACATAGAGGGACGATTATGCTGGCACCTGGCGAAGAAATATAACATTAGCCTTGTAGAGCGGGAAAACTACAATAGTTTAAAGTGTGTATACATTTTTTTGAAGCACCCTGTATATATATATATATATATATATATATATATATATATATATATATATATATATATATATATATATATATATATATATATATATATATATATATATATATATATATATATACATATATATATATATATATATATATATACATATATATATATATATATATATATATATATATATATATATATATATATATATATGTTGTTGAACTAAATACTGTATCGACTCTGCTCATTAAACAGGAAACAGTATTTATTCTGTAGTGGCTTACTTTTATGCACCATCCATTCTAATTCAGTTTTGTGTATGCTCTTAATCCTTGAATATTAAAATACAATATTTTTCAGTGAGCAAACAAGGTAATAAACTTTCCCAAGTCCAATATATTTAAAAACGTGGACTATCCCAACCAGTTTTATTATCAACCCGACCGAATCCGAATAAGCCAATAAAAAGTAGGCATTCATAAATTTTTCACCCGCCATCGTCTGGAATCCAGACGTTAAGGGTCAGCCTGGAGGATCGTAAGTTTTTTTTTTCAAGGTTGGCGGGTCGTGATCGCTATCATTTTCCACCAAAAAAAAATGCGAGGGGTTGAGCCCGACGCTGTTATAACAAGAATTTATTTGGTTCGCGCAAAAGGGGAGGGGAGTAACCGGCAGCACGCTAAAAGAAAAAATCATCAAATCAAATTTATTGGTTCGATGATGTGTTTTTAATTATATCTTTTTTATGTTTTATATGTTATATATTTCTTATAGATGGCGCTGTGCAAAACTAATTGATGATTCGCTTGAAATCTTAGACATACGAAGCATTTTGTCCAATTTCTTGGACAATATGTGTACGTATGCTGGCAATCTGGGGATCATGAATCGCAATCTCGGTTTTTTACGAGTTAAATTGATTATAAAAATTCTTGTATAATATAGTACATTAACTCAGTCAGTATTACTCACTAAAATCTCGAATAAATGCAAATCTAATTGAATACAAATAAGAGTACCTTTTGTGTGGGGGCAAGATAAGTGGCACCGCCCTTTTAACGAATCTCCTGTGTTAAATATTAGAATTTTATTAGCAAATGACGAGCCGACTGTATATGGGCGATCCGGGGGTCACGTGACTTTGGGCCAGTGACAGCTCGCATTAGGACAAGCCACCAAACCAGCAAACCGGAACGTAAAGCCGTTCGTGGTTGTTACCACAGGAGAGTCTTGGAGCCAATGGTTGCTAGTCGTCTGGTTGCGGCGTCTTTAAATAGCCGAATTTAACGCTGACTAAGTCTTTGTTCGGCAACACATTACCTAGTTAATTAACTAACCTAATATAAATCTAAACCCTATTTGAATATTTGTAGCCAACCATATGGAGTTGGCAATAGCAAGGAGGCATTTTTTTAACATTGTTTATTAAAAAAATTAATATTCTATTTAGCAAACAAATTAACTAAAAACTAAAATATCAACTACCACAGTTATCACTTGACTTCGCGTTGACTTGACTGAAGTATTTAAGAAAAAATATATTTTAAAAAATTTGCTAAACAGCAATACATCTACATCTACACATATTATCATCTTAACTCACAAACAATAATTGAAAACATAATAAGGAGGCTCAATTGCTGTATCGCGACAATGGTGAGAGCTGCAAGGTTGCCAAGTAGGTAAAGTGAATAAGTCCAAAAAATGTTGCTTGTTAGGAATCAATTAAAACTAGATGACAGTTGACCTGCCAGAATTAACACTATTTAACAATACCAAAATCTTGATATTCTATTCTATTCAACCATTAATATTTGCGTGAAATATCTTATAATCAAACACGGGGTTGTCTTCACTTCACACAGTGCGGATTCTGGTTATCCCTCAATAAATTTTTTATAGTATCAAATTTCTGTCTTTAAAGATAAGTTACGCTCTACCTATCACTTTTTCAGACTTCCTATGGATTTTAAATAAATTACCATAACGGCGCTTATATCCCTGCTCGGATAGAACAATTGTGGTGCGCTGCTTCTCTCCGCAGGCGACGACGTCTGGTGACCCCAAGTTACTAGCCCGGGAATGTGCAGGTGGTTGACCCGTCGGCGGGGGCTTCCATCCGGGAACGTTTGCGCTTTCCTATGTGGGTGCGTTGCCCCTGCACTAGGATAGGTTAGAGTATAATTGCCAACCGACAACATCATATACAGGGCGAAGATTTTAAACCTAACGAAATTGAAGAATACGCAACCACAGGCTTATTATCAATTTCATCTTGTTTTGTAACTAACAACAGGAAAGCAGATACTACTTGGTAATTGATAAAATGGTAAATTATTCCAAGCGATCATTAACATCCTTGTGCTCCGTTCAATGCGACAATCGATTTTGTTGATTTTCCATAATATATTTTGTAGTTAATTTTTGTCGATATTTCTATTATTTAACATTATTACTGAGAAATAATATCCCCCTTGCTTTTTGTTGATATATTTCTAATGGTTAAATTTCATTAATAATAATAATTGGAAATTTTCTCTCGGAAAAATTCGTGTATGAAAAAATAGGATAGTTTTCTATTATTTGGAACGAGAAACCATATGAATAGATACCTAATCAGAATATGAGAATAAAAGATTCGTTAGAACTGAGAAACATAAATGTGTCTATCCAATTTAAGAGTTAACGATTGTCATGCTCGTCCCATAGTCCCCATTAAACTTTTTGTTTTTATAGCATGATTTTTCAAATCGGTAGTAATTCACCGGAACGACGAATTGGGAATTAGCTCGATGAAGTAACCAAAAGTTTATTTTGGGTAACCTGTATTTAAAGAACGCAAAATATAATGCTATACAATATAGAAAAATCTTCCGGCCTAGACATTTCACTTTCGTTTGTAAAATAAATCCAATAAGACATCAAGCAGCGAACATAGGCAAACCCTGGGCTTCAAAACAGACACTGTCGCGCAGATTAACGCGGCGATAAGCATAAATTAAGGCAGTTACGGTGACTAATATTTTCAGCACAATCGTCCCGCATTCACCGAGACGACTGTTTATTTCTTCGTTTTAAAAAGCTAGGCAAAAATAAACAACCAATCAAACTCGCACATCTTAAACATTCCTTGGATATTTTCTTTATGATACGGCAGCTGCTTGAGCTTAGAAAATTATATTCTGTATACTATAGGCACAGTTCGAGCTCCGTGGAAGCATCAAACGCCAATAAGTTCTGGTTCTTCCTTGATGTAGAGTCCACAAAAGGAGTTACTTTGACCACTATGCTAATTGTTTTTAATAACACATCATAAAATGGTAATATTATATTATGAAACAAATTTTATAAACGGCACGTTAGTCAGAGTTGACACGGGCGGAGCGCAATGTAGCGAAGTTTTATTAAAATCTTATCTGAAGAAGTGGCATATACCATACTTTTTCTACAGTAGTCAATTTTTTTAAGAAGCACGAATACATTTACATGTTGCAAAAGTTCAAT